GTGGACATTCTGACATTGGGGGGTACTGACTTGGGGTCACTGACATCCCCAGTGACACCAATACAGTGATCAGTGCAAAAAAAAAACACTGACACTGTACTAATGGCGCTGGCGAGGAAGGGGTTAAGTTTATTATTCAGGGAAAGGGTTAACTGTGTGTGGGGGAGTGTTTTACTAGGGGGCGGGGGGGGTGTGTACTGCAGGGAACACCGCTGATCGGAGAGAGAAACTGTTCTGTCTTGATCAGCGTGTCCTGGAGCTGTCAGGGAACTGACAGAAAGCACAGCTACTGCAGCCCTGCTCTCTGTCAGCGATTGCCGCCAATCGCCGGGACATAGCCGGTAAGACCGGCTGTGACCCGGCGACTGACATCTGCGGCTGTGATCGGTGGAACAGGCAGGGCGGCGGCACGCCTCACGCGCACCCCCTACCTGTTTTAAAAAACACACATTTTAAAACGTGGTTTTGCCCAGCTGTGCCGCCCTGCCGCCGTATTTCTACAGTGGCTGGGCGGCATGCGGTTAATGTTGCTCTCAGTGATCACCAATGGGGGAAGATACACTGAGAAGCAAGGAGGGGTACAATGAGCAGCAAGGAGGCGATACACTGAGCAGCAAGTAGGTATGCAGGGCACATCATAAAGGGGTCACATTGATTACTGATCACCAGGTTTTTTTATACTCGCGTAGTGCGCGCAAAAACAAAACACCTGTAAGAGAACAAAAAAAGTGAAACACACATAAAAAGTGCACTTATGGATGTGTCTTTAGTCCACCTCCCAAAGAAGTAAGACCCTTCCCTGTCCCCTGGGGAGCAAGGCTCCTGATAGGGGTAAGACTCACTCGTGGTCTACATAGCCAAAAAGCCTGGTGGACTCTTCTCCTCAGGGTCAGCTGAAGCCAACCCCCAAGTGCTAGGTGAGGGGCTTTCCAAATGGAAGGAACCTAATGGCCACACGCATCCTTCCCATAAACTTCAAGGTAGGCCTGAGGACCCACACCCTCCATCCTGAGTGAAAGTAAAAAAAAAACACATTTATAAGTGCAGGTGATACACATGTGAAGAAAAATAAATTTATTTGTGCCAGTGCGTGTGCATTGGTTAGACCTTGAGGCCTGGTAACAAAAACTGACCCGGTCTCAGCCTAAATATATAGCCCATGAGGCACTGTGCAGAAAAAAAAGGAGGTGCCATAGCCATGTGCTCATTCTCACAGTGGGGCCCCAGACCCATAATGATACTAAGAGCACCTCTGGGGCAACCAGCTTCCAGAGGACACTGACACTGTGGGTTCTCTGCCTTCTCAGCCGCTGGCCAGGCAAATGCAGTCCTATTCAAATCAGAAAGGCATTAGAACTTAGGGAGAGCCTTGTCTTGAACCTGTGACAAGCCTGGCATCCCAGGCCTGAATTAGCCTGGGAGGAAAAAGGCTTTCCCACCATTCCCACCTTACTACATTGAATGAATACCAGACAGAACCCCCCTTTCTCCACTGGGGACACTCTGTTTTCCCTCTCAAAAACTGATAAGATAACAGATACCACACTTGATCTTAGTCAAAAGGCAGAGAATACCACTGATCACCAGTGTTTTTTTTAAGTGGAAGTAAAGCATGGTGTGATGGCCATCATTTGCCGTAATGTACAAGTATGAGCAGAATATTTGCACATTATGATCCACTTACCTCTGGGTGTGCCCTCTTCCAGCGATGTAAGGTCTGAGCTTTCCATATCCACTCCATCCCTGCAGTGTCATGTCCTTCTCTTATCCCTAGGCCACCATATTCTTGCTTCTCTATTGGGAAGACATGATTATGTAGTTCCTGTGCACGTGTGCTAAGGTTATGTTATCTCAACTACTTTTTTGGCAGAAAAAAAACTGCTGCAATTTACCATTAACATTGAAAGGGCCTCTTACCACCAACCACCACCATAGGGGCATTAACTCCTGACCTCTGAAATCCACAAGCTGTTCTGTCCATTTCATAGCCCTGACCTCTGCACTCTGACTGCTGCACTTTATATATTTCCTAAACTAAACTGTACACTTTTGGGGATGTTTGAACTGTCCTGACATTTCAGGGCCTCAATAAGAAGGGTTTATTTAAAAATTTTTTTTTTCCTTTACATAAAAAATAAAAAAAATTCAACGGTTATTAAATACCACTGGAAGAAAGCTCTATATGTAATTGTCAGTCAAACTTTCACAGTGCTGAAAACTGAAAAAAAAATGCTTTGTAAGGAAAGGGGCATACACAGGTTAGTACTCAAGTAGTTAAAGTGTATCTACAGTATACCCAAACTTTCTTTTTTAGCTTTGGATAGAATGGTAAAAGGTTAGAACCCCTGTCAAGTTTTACTGCTATCTGGAGCTCCTTTTTAATGAAATTTCACCTCACTTTCTGTTCTGCGGACCTTTTACTACACCGGAAGAGAGGTATGTATACATAAAAAATGCTGACAGGGTTTATCAATGCCCCACTCGACGACTTAAGAGATTTATGGAACTTTCTCTCATAGAGCCTCACACAGCAGTAGAGCTTGACAAGTGTCCAGAACGTTCCCCACTCTCTTTCCCCCACTACATTTTAAGTCTCCAGCATTTAGGAAAAATTCAAACATTTGTTTTGGAATGGAATGACCCTTTAACTTGGTTGGAAAATGTAGTACATGCACACCAACAATGCAGACTCAGTCTACGAGATGACATTTTTAGAATTTATTGCTGAGTAACAGGAGAAGGGTTCAGGGACTAGGATATTACATTCAATAGCAGAAATAACAGAAGAATAGCTTTTTACTAATCTTCTCAAAGCAGCCTTTTCTGGAGGTAACGGGATGGCCAGTAGATCCAAGGCTCTATAAGAGCATATAGCATTCTCCAGGATGTAATTTGCTGCTAGCACTTGCTCACCCACAGCAAGGTCTTTACTCACAATGTCCCAGGAGTCATCTGCAACCCCCCGTCCATGGGTAGTTTCTCAGTGAGGGAGACAAAAGATCCTTCTCCAAACCAGAACTCCAGGATGATGTCCTCCAGCAAATAATCCTTTGGCAATCTTCTCTAGGTGCCCAGCCCAGCATCTGCCGAGGCCCAGACTGCAATTTCTTGTCTCACTAGCTACATCCCAGGGGCAACAGCCCCAGGAGAACTGGAACCCTACTTGGAGAGGGAAAAGCACTCTGGAAAGGCCTATCAAAGATTTATCATCTCCCCAGCCTCCTTCCAGGGATTGACTGGAACATGATAAATGTTCATACTGGGCATTTGGCTCTCCCTGCCCTATACTCTGGAAGCTTCACTCAGAAGCAGGTGAAATAAATGAAACACCCAGCTAGGTAACCTTGACCAGACAAAAACAATAGATTACTGCTCCACTGACTACAGCAAAGCCAAAAAACTACATTTAGCCTAGCAGCCTAAGTAGAGGAAGGCTCTACATCCAAAAGACCATGAGCCACATGACACACTGCAGATGGACAGGACAGACCATGTCCTTGACTGTACATATACGGATCCTGGAGATACTGTAACACCCATATTCTAAAATATCTCTTGAAGCTGAACTATGATTTTTTTTCTCTATACCTAAGAAACAAAAGCAACCTTTCTGCTGTTCAAAGGCCAAACATAACATTGCAACTAGTCAGGAGCAAGAGTTGTGGGGATTACAGGTGGAGACTGATCGATTCCAGCACTAGCAGATCTACAATCCCTCTACATGACCTGGTTCTCCCCCAGTTCCCCCTGGTTGGATTTGTGTAGAGTTACCCTTTATTGCTGCCTGATTAATGTACAGTCCTCACAAATTTTCTTTGTCTCAGCATTACATTATTCTAGGGCTATAAATGAAAGTAAACGCAATTTAAACTCAGCAGCTGCTCGGGACGCCCTGTCTAAAAACACATTATTCTGTCAGCATATTATTTTCTTTGGAAAAAATAGCAGTTCCAGTAGTTGAAGTCAATGTAGCGGTAAAAAAAAAATTGCTGCAGGTGCTTCAGAGTTCATCCACAGGATAAACGGGGGGCTGAGGCTCCCACAGAAATGGATGTTAATGTCAGTAATGACTAACTGATTTGCTCAGGCTGGGACTGCTTTACAGAACATTTCTGTTTTATAGAAATTTTTATTTCTCTTCCATGTTTGCAAAGAAGCTATTTGACCCTATTAATTGTGGAAATGTTTGGCTGCAACTGGATGTTGATGACCTTTCCTAATTCTCCATCTCTGCTGCCATCAAAAATATCTGAAAATTATCATGAAAATTAAAACCAGATTGTGTTCTACTACTATTTATCAAGAAACTTCATGTGATATTAAATGCAGTTTTTTTTTTAATAACAAACACATTATGGTTTTTATCATGGTCATTTCAATAGTTTTTCACAGAGCAGCCCCATTCCTCATCTACTCGGGTCCCCCATGGGTGCTCCTGCACCCTTCCTCCTGCCCATTGCCCAGTTGCAAGCAGCTTGCTCTGGGGGCACCTCAACAGGCTTGCTCCTGAGCTGCTGCTCTGCGTACTCATTCACACACAGACAACGGCTCGGTCCCGCTGCAGCTCTTTCCTCATTGGCTCACTGGCTGTGATTGACAGTAGTGGGAGCCAATGGCTCCCACTGCTATCTGAGCCAATGAGGAGGAAAAGACCCCAGAGAGCCACTGCTTTCATTCACATCACTGGATCAAGGGGGTTCAGGTAAATATAAGGGCGGAATGGGGGGGGGGTGGGTTGATGGGCACAGAAGGTTTTTACCTTCAAGCTTAGAATGCATGAAGGTAAAAAACTTTGAACCTTTACAACCACTTTTAGCAATATGGGGGTAGAAGTTTGTGACTTGTCCCATAAAGATTCTTTAACTGCCTCCCGTCCTCCATATAAGAAAATGACGGACGGGCGGCGGTCCTCTCATTCTGCTGCGCGGCAATCGGCAGTGCGCTCTGTCCCTGGGGCACAGCGGATCACCAATCACAGTAAAGAGCCAGTGATGTAGGCTCTATCATGTGATCAGCAGTGTCAAATCACAGCTGATCACATGTAAATAGGAAATAGAGGTTATCATCAGTCCTCTCCTCATGCTCACAGCGCATTAGGAGAGAAGAGTCGGTAAGCGGCATTCCTCAGAGGGGACATCTACACTGATCATCAGTGCCCTGGTGATTAGTGTAACCCCATCAGTGCCACCTGTCAGTGTCCATAATTGCCACCTGTCAGTGCCCATCAATGCCACATACCAGTGCCCATCAGTGCACATCAATACCACATATCAGTGCACATCAATTCCACATATCAGTGCCTATCAGAGCTGCCTTTCAGTGCCAACTATCAGTGCCAGTCAGTGCTGCCTATCACTGTCAGTCAGTGTCACCTCTCATTGCCGCCTACCAGTGCCCATTAGTGCTGCCAATCAGTACCGCCTATCAGGGCCAGTCAGTGCTGCCTATCAGTGCCAGTCGTTGTCACCTATCAGTGTTCATCAGTGCCGCCTATCAGTGCCCGTCAGTGTTGCCTAACAGTTCTAATCAGTGCCACCTATCAGTGCCAGTCAGTGCTGCCTATCAGTGCCATATATGAGTGCTGTCTTTCAGTGCCCATCAGTGATGCCTGTCAATGCCCACCAGTGATGCATTGACGTCCAATAGTGCCTCCTCATCAATGCAGCCTTTCAGCGCCCATTGCTGCAGCCTCTTTAGTGAAAATCACTGAAGGAGAAAAATAACTTATTTACATAATTTTAAAACAGAAACAAAGAAAAAACTTTTATTTTCAAACATTTGTCTTTTTTAGTTTGTTTAGCGAAAAATAAAATTCCAAGGGTGATTAAATACCACCAAAAGAAAGCTCTATCTGTCTCAAAAATTATAAAAATTTGTTTTACATTAGTAGTAAAAAAAAAATCACATTTTACATAATACTAATGTATTTTAGCTGTTTTGCCTGGCAGAACTAGGGTCGTCGGTTCGAATCCCACTACCTGCCTGGTGTTTGCTTGTTCTCCCTGTGCTTGCGTGGGTTTCCTTCAGGTGCTCCGGTTTCCTCCACACTGCAAAGACATGCTGGTAGGTTAATTGGCATGGATAACATTCTACAACTGTATCAAAGAACATATACCACAGTCTAGCTTTTTGCCTTTAAAACGGAGTTCCACCCAAAAGGGGAAGTCCCGCTTTAAGGCTTTGTCCTCCATTCCCCAGTAAGGATTGGCACCTTTGGGGAGTGGGGGGGAGAGTGGGTACCCGAATATGACAGGTACCTACTCCCACTTCTGCTGCAATCACCTAGGCAATCAGAAGCGGAAGTTGTCCTCCCTCCTCATCGTCTTCTGGGGCATGTGACAGGTTCCAGAAGACTACAAGGCCATTCACAAAGTGGAGCACTTCTTGCGCATGCTCGGGAGCACTTCTTGCGCATGCTCGGGAGCACTGCTTGCCGTTACACCAAAAATCCTCACTTCTGGATGAAGAGTGACTTTTGCAGACTATTTTTTTACCTCTAAAACCCAGATACCTCTCAGTATGCCCTACCTGGTTATTACTGCATGGGAGTGCAGCAAGAGGAAAATAGCAGTAATGGGGGCTACAGTAGGGTGGCCCAACAAGAAGGTTGTGTCTACAGGGCCATTTTTTTTTTTGTTAACAAACTTTTTATTGATTTCCTCAAGGTTCTAACAACAATGACTGGAAGCTTAGCACTCACAGGTGTTGCTATCCAGAACAAAAGAAAATTACAAAACCATAACTACCCTAAAAACGTAACTAGCCTAAAAGGCGATAGTGTGTGTTGAATCTCGTCCGGTCAGTGGTACCTAGTCAAAATATATAGTATCAGGCCCTGCTATAAACACGATACAATTTAGAATGAGCAAAGACACTCAAACCCAGTCTCGAACCAGTCCCATCAAAATAGTGAATTTAGGCGGTGGAGGTGTCCCCTAACCATTTGACCCATATTCTTTCAAACTTTCAAGGGCAACCTCTATTTGCATATGTTGTTTTGTAGGGTGGAAATTGGGAGTTCACCAGCTGTTTCCAGTACCCATGTGTAGATGCTGTTGGTTTCTTCCAATGAAGTGTGACTGCCTTCCTGGCATAAAAAAGCAGTAGTCCCAATAGTGTCTTATCCGTGTTCATGGGCACAAGGCCATCAACGAGGCCAAGAGGTGTTGATGGTGCTGGCCATAGATTCCCAAAGCAACTGAATCGCTGGGCATGTCCAGAAAATGTGGGAAAAATCACTATTGGCCCAATCACAGCGCCAGCACGTTGAAGGAACATTAGGATCCAGACGGTGTACCCTGTGTGGCGTGAAGTAGGCCTGTGTCTACAGAGTCATTTTGAATGTAAAATGATTGTGTGTTTGGAGTGTACCTTTTAGAACAAAGCCAGGTAAGACCTCCTTTAAACCTCCATCATGACTCAGTTTCACTCTTATGTATGGAAAATCATAATTCCCTCTTGTATCTCATATTCTGTATTTTTATTTCCACTACAGACTTAATTAGAAAGCATCTTTGAACAAGAATACTTCCTGCTTCTGTAATAATTAGCATATATTAGTAAATGTTACAAGTTTGGTAACACTGCATTACCATACATGAATTCGTAAGCTTCTACACGAATCCTCTAAGCTGTTATGATAGCTTTTACTAGACTAATTTATTCCAAGTACGATACTTAGATCCACTTGATGCACTTTATTCATATTACTGATTAATCCATTTCTCAATTATCTTAAAAATGATCTCAAATAGAAAAATACTTGAGATGCGCGGCTTTGCTGTGTGTGAAGTGGTTGCTCCAAGTGCTCTGCTCAGTTATACAGTAAATGCTATGATTAATACAGGTGTAATGTTTTGTCTCTTACTTCTGCCATGTAAAAATACTACAGGAACTGGAAGCCATATTCATTCACATTAAATTCTGCATTGTTTAAAAGTTTATTAAACAAGAACTCCATTGTACTAAAGTGACTTGATATTATTTTAACCCTTTAGCGCCAAAAGCCTCCCAGACCTTTGAGGATTCTAAAAGCCAGGAGGTAGAGGCGGGCAGTTGGGTCATATGACGGCTGTGATTGGCTGTCACAATGGTCACATGATCATAAAGCTTTTGACTGTAAGTATGCATCAGGAACTTACCAATCCCCGCTGGCTATAGTGCTGAGAGTGTGCAGGGTGCACTTTGTTAGCACGGGTAAGCCGTTTTAAAAGGGCCACATATAAGCGGCCACTTGGCATTAAGGCCCACCTGCCAAGTGGCTGCATAAATGCATACTGCCGGCTCCAAGAGGTTGAAGCTGAACTCTGAGTTAATAAGAAAGACAAAAATTGAATGACGGTCTGTAGTCATTAAAGTGAAACTAAACTCTGGTTTAAAGATTAATATTCTATTCAGTTAGGTAGTCAAAAAAGTCACTCTTACTGCTCTCAGCCTCCTCCAAATCTACAAATTTCTTTTTTTTTCGCTTCTGTGATCTGCCTTCCTGTTAGAAGGTGGCTACCTTTGTTCTTCATGGTCTCACTGTATGTAAGAATGTAGCCAACCTCCCTTGCTCACTCCCAAGATGGACTATGGACTATGGACAATGGGATGTGTAATATGCATATGTTACAGGATTATAGGTGATCTGAGTGCAAGGAATGATAAAGAGGCAGCCTGCAATATCTGTATCAAAGAGAACAGCCCAAAACATGTTGCTCACTTGCTCATTCTGAATGTAATGTGTTTAACAGAAATGGATCACATTATACAGATAATTACTTTCTTTATAGTGGCAGTACAGGTCACAAGGAAGAGCTCATCAATTGTATTAGAGAGTTACCATTACTAACATATAGGATACTGTCATGTTTCACATGACTGTCATATGCCTTAAAGTGTTCTTTGTATTTTGTCTCTGCTCCTCCCTTTCCTTTGGTTTAGTTCGTGCTGTATAGATAGCCCTACCCTTTTATAAATTTTCCCAGTAATGCACTTCAGCTTCAAGCCTCATGTCATGAAGTAGATCACATTATGATCTTTTGTCCTATCCAATGTTCATTGTTGTAAGATTCTCTCAGTTTATGGAATAAACTTCACAAGATCTACTAGGTGTAGTCTGGATCAAGTCACTGCTTGTGTTATTCAACTAAGATTGGAGTTATCGCTATCTCATCACACTTTCAATGCTTAGATTGGAGAGACAGAACAGATACTAAACAGAGATAGTGGATGTCAGAACAAGCACAAAACTGAGCAAAGATGGCATAAACAAAGTGTTAGTAACCTGTATCAGAGGAGAGCACAAAACACATGTTGCTCACTTTTTCATTCCGAGTTTAATGTAAACTTGGTGTTAGTCTCCTGAAGTCACACTAGAAATCATTAGTGCTCCCTCTAGCTTCAGCCTAGTAATAGTGTTACTGGAAGGTTATTCATTTACTTGCTACGCATAGAGCAGAGCACATGACAGCAACTAATGTGCACTGCTCAACAAACAGAAGTGAGGGGATACGGAGAGGTTTGAGAGCTAATGGGGGACATTACAAGGAGGCAGAAAACACTATAAGTAAAAATTTCATGAAAAACAGTTTGCAGGGCCATTAGGTAGCAGATGTCTATGGATTATTTTTGGAGAATAACATATTGTTTATTATCACTTTGACTCAAAATAGTACCTTCTATTGCTCTTAGCCTCCTCCAAATCTCCAAATTACTGTGTTTTTCCCCTGCAGTGATCCGACCTTTTGTTAAAGGATGGCTACATCGTTCTCTATAGTCTCACTGTATGTAAGAGCATAGCCATCCTCTCTTGCTCCCTCCCAAGATGGACTGTGGACTATGGGATTTATAGCATGCATAGAGAGTAAGAATATCATTTAATATTACTCTAAATCAGTATTAAACCCAAAGCCAAAAATGTTGCATCTTACCAATCATTAGATGTGGTGGCTGCATCAGTTCTCTCTTTTCGTTAGCTTTTTTCCCTCTGTTTTCACCTAGTAATCTGGCCAGCAACACATTTCCTATATCAGTGAGACACAACTCTATAAAAATGAGCACAGGAGGCACAGCATACAACAGCAGCTCACAGTTTATAATCAGTTACAGCAAACATTTTTTTTATTTCCTTTTGGAATAAAGGTTTTACATGGATGAAAAAAAAGCTGATTATTTTTATCACCCCTGACATTGTTAAGTGGTTTGTCTCATCCATGGAAACCGATACTTTCTGCTGGAGAGCTTGAACTTGTGAAAAACAACAAACTGGCTGGCTGAATCACCAGATGAAAATAGAAGAAAGAAAGCCTAAACAAGGAAACAAAAGCAGACATCACATCTAATAATTGTTAAGCTGCAATATAATAAATGTTT